CCCCCCCCCCTGCACACTCCAAGCCCCAGGTACCACAGCCCTAGATCCTGGAAATCCCTGCCCTCAAGCCCCCATTCCAGGAACTGCACCCCAGTCTGTCTCCTTGGAGAACACATGGAGGGCAAAGAGATCATGGGCCTGAATCCACTCACTGAAGCCAAGCTCAAGCCAAATCCCCAGAGAGCAGCACCTGCCCCAGGCATGAAGGGCTTGTATGAGCCTAGGAGACCCTTCTGAGTACAGCCCCAAATCTGAAGAGCTCCCCACACCTGGACCCCTCTGAATCTCTGTCTCTGTCTTTCTCTTGGTCTCTTTCTCACCTTTCCCTGACATAAATGGAACTCAGACCTTGGACGAGAAAATCCATTGTAGAGCAGGTCTCAAACCTTTACTTTTACTAGAGCAAAGAAGCACAAACAACCCCGAAAACACACAGGAGCAAGTTTCATGGTGCCTAAAGATCCTCAGTGCTAAGGAACAAATTCTAGGGCATATCAGAGGCCCTGACACACACACCCAATCATGTGGAAATGTGCACCAACGTAACAGACACACATCACACACAGAAACAGAGACACACCAAGAAATACTAATAGAGAGACATCTAGGAAAAGCACATACAGACGTGTACAAAACCTTCTCACATACACACCCATACCCAGGATGCAGGTAGGCCCTGACCCTCCTTGCATATAGGCTAACTAGCACACTTCACCTGTACACCAGCTTCCCGAACCCTATCCTCCATAAGAGGCTCCTGTCAGGAGAGAAAATTCTCCAGGGAAATGTGAGATCCACCCTCTCCCTCCTGGGAAGAAAGAGGGCAGAAAGCTCCAGCCGGGCTAGGAAATACTAAGACTCTGTAATATGGAAATCATTTAACAAATCTGTGGGAACAGCACCCCCATTCCCACCTCTTAGGAAACAGGAAAGTGGCTTAACTCGTTCTGCAAATTAACTCCAGACCCATAAGAATGCCCTCAGTTAGGCTGGGAGAGGCCAGGCCCAGTGGGGCCTTGGGCCTTGGGGACAGCCAGTTGAGTCCTGACTGGTCCTGGGGTCAACTCACCAACAGGTACAGCTGCCTAAGAGTAAGGCTGTCCCAGCTCCCAGCCTCCACTGCCCTTCCACCCAGAAGAGTGCCTGGTGACCATGGAGCCAGGCAAAGCACAGGAGACACAGGACGCTGGGAAGAAAATGGGTCTGTGTTCCCGGGGCCTGCACCTCTTGCCCGCTCTGTTCTGGCACAGACACCATTCTTTACCTTTTTTGATCACAGACTGATCCAGAAGGCTCATTCCTGGCTCATCCATGACCTGCAGATAGAAAAGGGTGGCGATAAGGACTCTTGTAGACTGTCTTCTTTCACTTTCCCACTCCCTGCT